AACAAACAAGTTCAGAAAACAACGTCAAAACAGCAAAAAGCAAAAGAGGAAAGAGGAAGACAGAGACAGTGGAAAGAAAAAAGAGTAAGGCGAAGACAGAGAAAGAGAGAGAGAGAGAGAGTGAGCTAAACACAAACAACAACGCTAATGGCAACTCTACCGTTAAGGCAAGCTTGTTGTGCGTATGTGTATATACATATACATATATGTGTGTGTGTGTGCAATGCTCGGGGCCAGGCATAAGGATGCGCATAATGTGCAAAGTTTGTGACGCAAACTAATTTCAAAGTAATTACGTAGCACAAAAGTGTTGATATTAGACTGCTGCGAATAAGCAGCGAGTGAGACAGACACACACACAGAGAGAGAAAGAGAGAGAGAAAGCAACATGGCTTAGTGCAGAGCCAGCGCAGTGAGCTGCAAAAACAACATGACAAAACGTCATCAACAGACCCTCGGAAAAAAAAGAGCTGAGAAAACCCAAAAAATACCCGAAAAACTGCTGTCAAGCAGCTGCAAGTTGCTGTTGCATGCCCCCGCTGCCCCACCTTGAGCAAGCCGGCACAGCCAACGTCAGCGCGGCATCACCAACTGAAGCAACAACAAAAATCAACCCAAAATGCAATAAAAAAGTCGTCGCGACCCACAAAAAAAAAAAAAAAAGAACTAAAAAACTAAAAAATGAAAAGCAAAGAAACATTTTTGCTGTCACAGCGTTTGACTTTAATGTGACTTGTGGCGGCAGAGAATGGGCTCCTTGGGGACGGACCACAGCAGAGCTGGAGCTGTAGAAATTAAAGGCGCTCGAAAAGTTTGGCCGCTCCCTGCGGGCCATTGTCTAAGTAGCTGCCTGGGCGGGCCCACACAATTTCTATTTATTTGTGTAATATTTTACAATTTTATAAAGTAAACGAAAACGGGCGAAATATGAAGCAAGCGTTCAGAGAGACGGACGACTCCAGGCGCAAACAGGAAGGCAAACACAGACACACACACACACACACACACACACACACACACACACACATACATACATACATACACAATAGAGAGGCTGTGTAGAGTCAGGCGGAAACGGAAGCTGGCAAAACACAAGGCGCACGCAGAGCCGAGCAAAAACAAAGGAAAAAGCAGCTGCAGCAACATAGCAGAAAAAACAACACAAAACAAAACAAAACACAACACAAAACAGAAACGCAGACAATCGCTTAGTTCTGCAATAACAGCTACAAGCATAACACACGCACACACACACACACATACACATGCATTAGCCAGATAGAGTGCATATGTCTGGTATATAACGGTGTCTATGACTTAAGGCTTTGGCTTTAATAAAGAACAAAGTTTTCAACGCTTTTGGCACCGGAGTAAGGGTGAGACAATTGAAGCGCTAAGCGAATGTGCGTGTGTGTGTCTGGTTTTTACTATAATATACCCTGTAATTGGGCATGATGGAAATAAGTTTAGGAAAATTTTTATATAGAATGATCCACAGGCAATTCTATTTAAATCCTAGTGAACTTCGTTTAATATTTTTTATAATCTAATTATATTTATTGCAAATATAGATTTAGCTACTTCATAAAGTGCAACATATATTTTAATTAAAAAAAAAAAAAACCGACATTAATGCACATGCAATATTAATTATTTTTTATATAAAAAATATTATGTAATAAAAAAAAAAGATAATGAAAAAAAAAAAAAAAAATATATATATATATAAAAAAAAAAAAACGGAAATAAAGCTTCATAAATAATAGATAATAGACTTAAATGCACATGCAATATTAAATATTTGTATATAAAAAATAATATTTAATTTATTATTTTATTTGTATTATTATTCATAATGAAAAAAAATTATAATAATAAAAATATTAAATTACATTATGTACACGATATTAAATAATGTATGGTAAATTTTTCTATTTTCCATAAACAAAAAATATTTCATCTGTATTATCAGTTATTTTGCTTAAAAAATTGGAAAATACTCTGCCCGCATGAATTTCCTCAGTATTTACAGGGTACATCGACCAGTGCTCGCTAATAAATATGCAATGCAACCGAGCATCGCATATATTTTATAAATTTCATTAAGTGCAGAGCCTTTCGAAAAAGGGCAGCAGAAATAAATTTACGGCTTATACCCGGCTCGTGCACTTTTTATAGCATACTTTTTGGGGCGCTGTGAAAAAATGCAATTAAACAAATAAATTTCCACATGAACCCATTCAACTGGCGCTGGCGGAGACAAACAAAAAAAAAAACAAAAAAAAAGGAAAGCAAAATAACAATAAAAAATGACGTAATTTACCTCAATTAACACGCCAGTTGAGTGTGTGTGTGTGTGTGTGTGTGTGTGTGTGTGTGTGGCTGTCTGTCTGTGTGTGTGTGTGTGTATTGGGCGTGTGAGTTTAATTGCAGCCAATGGTCAGAATCGCCATTTGGCATCAGACACGACCGTAAACGTTAACGTAACCGTAACCGAAAAGCGTACAGTGGTCGTCCGGCTCGCCTTTGGCCGTGAGCTGGATTCGGGGACTCGGGGTATTTTTGGCCGGCGTACATGATCCAGCTGAGTTTCATTGCTGCTCTTAACGACACTCCAAGTGTGCCGGGGCCCAGACGGCCCCGGTCTCAGCTTCCCGCTCGATGCTGGCCATTAAAATTCAACGGCTCAGGCGACTTAAATGCTTGCCAAGTAATGACCATTGGGGCAGCCAAAAACGTATCGACTCTGGTGCTAGAGCCACATCCTTGGCGCTGTCTGCCACGCCCGCCCATTGCCAGCACCTGTCTGTCTGGTCATTTAATGTGCATGTAAATGTGAGCACATTGCCCAACTATCAGACAACATACCTAGTCATTAAAGTTCACTTTATGTGCGCCATTTTACAGTGGAAACGCTTGCTGGCCCTGCCCCGCCCACTAAATAAACAGAAATGAATGGGACCAGCACCGCTTCCTCTATACCTAATTGTGTGTGTGTGAGAGAGAGAGAGAGAGAGAGCTGCATAAAAATGCTAATTTTATGATCAGCCAAAGACAAGAGGCGTGGGCGAAACATAATCAAATTCAGCTCGACTAGCAGATACCTCTTAGATGGACTTGCATAGATGCTGGCATATATTTGTATCAAAAGAAACTGACGATAACCCAGAGTCAAAATACACAACCCCCCTTTGAATTAGTTTATATACAGGGTATACATTTTTTTTATCAATTTCACTTTCTATGCTTTGCACACAGATGAGACTGTAACAGCTGCTGTTCATAGGCCATTAAATGATTGTTTATGGGCGTGTCCGGAATATTTGAAATGCCTGGGCGAGGCAATGGACACAAAATGTTGAACAGAAAAGAAAACCATGTTAAAACATGTATCGAGATAGTCTTATCTGTGTAACATATCTTATTAGAAACTGCTTTGCGTATTTCATTTGATTTTCCTTTAAAGTGTGCTCAAGCAACAAGCGGCAATAAAACTAAATTAGATTCACTTGTAAACCCTAAGCCGTAATCCACTTCGAATGGCTTTCACTCAACTAATCTTTAAATTCAGCTGCTTATCTGCCTAACAGAGGATGATGCTACCGAAAAAGAAGAAAACAAGAACAGCCTTGCTCTAAATCCAATCTAAAACCTAAGCGAGAAAGAACAACACCGAAAGAGAGACAGAGAGAGAGAGTGAGTGAGATAGAGGTAGTTACCAAATGTATTTGGAGCAAGTGGGAGAGAGTTAGGCCGTCAAAGGCGTTTAAGCCTAATTTGTGCACCCAGGCAGTAGGGCACGATGGCACGATGAGGCACGGCTGAGGCAATTACAGTTAAAGGCATTGCTCTAGCCCTCCAGGAAGTCTGCCTCTACCTCTTTCTGCTGTCGTCCTCTTTTTCAACCAGCCAATCTCCATCTCTAATCACATAGCTGGCTGCAATCGGCTTTTGTGCTGGTGCCGCATCCTGTTGATGGCCTCGTTAGCTGCGACTTACCGTCAGCCGTTCAGGGATAGCACAACGGGCGCAGTACAATCAACCCACACACACACACACACACACTTATATGGTGGCAATAAAAACAAATGTCCTGACGTGCTGCTGGCATCAAATAAAAAACTGGGCCAACAAACTGCCAACAGCCGAGGGCTCTCAAGTTTCAGCTGCCATTTAATGGTTTTGCAACTTCTTTCGATACCCGAAAACTTTTGCTAAGCACTGTCCCGAAAGTGAAAATAAAATAAATAACCAAAGATAAACAAAACAAATAAAATAAACATTTACGCTGTTGGCCCTAAAACGTTTCAAATTTAATTAGAGCCTGGCCAAAACGGAGCTGCTGCCCAGGTAAACTGACAGCAGCTCTCCACAGTGCAGACAGTCAACATTGTTGTTGCATGCAACTAGTTGCACAGCTTGCAGCTTAATGTGTTCTCTTGCAGTTTAATGGCCATTTCAAGGACATAAATCACGGATGGCCATAAAATACGGGCCGTAGACATTGCATTTTACGTGCCTTTGCAGTCCAGCAAATGTTGCAAAAATGCAGCACTTCATGCCGCAATGCTCGCAATTACTCATCTATATAACAATTCCCGGGGGCAACATTAGCAGCCAGAGAGAGAGGGCTACAAGCATTTCGAATTGTTAATACTCTGCTATATATGCCATGGGCGGTAGTAATTGATACTTCAGTGATATTCTGAGAGATATTCTGGGTATATCGATATACCAATTGCTAAGAGTTTGTTGGAGGGCTTTCAAAGAAATTATATTTTCTATATTTTATTTATCAACAAGTTACAATTCATATAAAATTAACTCTAACTAAAGACTAAGCATTGGC